GAAAAGAAGGGAAACCTACCAGCCAACTCGATACCTTCACTTAACAACGTCTCGGAGACTCTCAGTCTTCTCGTGCTCCATGGCTGCTCTCCATGTAGCCCGAGAAAAGGGAATTGGATCAAAGGATCGGCTAGCTTGTCAATCGATTGCTGGACGGTAATGTTATCTGGTTTCGAGTCGAGTCGGAGGTTCCAGGTTGCTATACGCATCCCAAGTGTTGATGAGGCGAATAATGAGAGAAGCGAGAATCGGGAGGTGATCATGCTGTAGGATAACCAGATGATTTCTTCGTGCCTTTTATTCAAGAAATAGTTCGAGACGCGTGATCTTGGGGCAGTGAGATGGTTGATGAAGGTGTATAAAAAATGTCATGGATACACATGGACACGTTCTATGACAATCCGAGCAGAGGCAGAGAGATTTATAGCCGCGGTAGCCGTCTACCATATGCTGATGATCAGAATGGTGATCAAACGAACGAGTAGCCGGCAATTCTTCCTCTCACCCGGCGGAAGCGGAGTTCCAACCAGCTTCAACGTCAATCAATCATTGACTTGATGCCTCAACGCCTCAAGCTCAAGATCCTGTTCAAACGTACAGCTCAGTCGAGGTAGACGTCAACCGAGGTATCCTCCTCAACAGATCCTACATGTGATTGGCTGTGGTTCGTCGATGTTTAGGTATGATCAAGAAAAAAAAATTACGTATTGGGCAAGCTACGATAACAAATGCACAGGCGACGGAAACGATCAACATGAACTTTAGCACCACCGCAGGCCATGACACGACAAGCCTACCCCCTACTCCGTCTCAGCCCACGGCCTATCCACGTTAACATCGTCCCCATCCCCTCCTTCCTCCGCATTATTAACGCCGTGCAACGTCAAAGCCTCCATCATCCTCGTGAACAGGTTCATATCCTCCTTCGCCCTCTCCCTCATCTCCTCCCCATAATCACCCAAATCCACAGGCGCCTCAGTATCCCATATCGGTTCAGGCCCGATCCACCCTTCGTTATCATAGATGTAGTTCATGAAGGCACGCCAAAGAGGGTCGAGGGATAGAACGTTGGGGTCTCCAACGATGACGAGGAGGGACTGCGCTCGGGTGATTGCCACTGGTTTGGATATGGTCGGTCAGACGAGATGGGGAACTACGAGATGAAGATGAAAACTCACCATTGAACCGCCTCGGATTGGCCACGAACCCAAGCGTATGACGAAGATCGTATTCGACGAATTCGCGACTGCTGCGAACGGTGGAGACGATAATGACCTTGCGTTCCTGCGAATTCGTGGTGAGATGGGAGGGAGTTGGAGGGCGAATATCAAGAAGGCTCACCTGCCCCTGGAACTCTTCAACACTCCCAACCTTTATCGAATCTGCAAAGCTCCGGAAGGCAGTTCGAAGCTTCAAAACCTGGGCGTGGTATGGAGCGATGACACCGATGTCGTTGTCGGCTATTTGAATGGTCAGTGACAATATCAACAACCAGTCCCTGAATGCCACTTACTCAACCTCAGCTTCCTATCCGACCTTAACTTCTGCACAATTGCCTTGACCACAGTGACCTCATCGATGTTGAAGAACGAAGGTGACGAAGCCTCCCGGTCATCTTTCCCAGAGATCGAATGGAAGACGATGGGGAACTTGGGAGACGCTAGATGCGACGAGTTGAGGAAGAGATTCGCGATCCTAGGGTCCGCACAAGGTTCCAGATCGCCGCCATAAAACCTTTCGTTGGGGAATTTCAAGATCGCATTATGTGACCGATAGTTCTTGGTCAATTTCACTACACTGCCAGTCACAATAACCAGTGTGAGTAAGCCTCCTGACACAACACTGACAGCGATAAACCATACTCACGATTTCCCATACCCCTCATCCTCATCATAAACCTCCCTCTCCATCAACCGTTCAATAAACGAGATTTCCAAACCCAACTTCCTCGCAACCGTCGACCTAATAATCGGCCCCAACTGCTTCGGATCCCCACAAAGCACAATATTCGTATCGTTCCCCGCCATCGACTTGATCGCAACCATAACCTCAGGTTCCGTAGCCTGCCCAGCCTCGTCCACAAAGATATGGCTATAATGTCCCCTCGGGATTCCAATCCCCGAAACGATGTTGGCAGAGATACACGTCGTGACTACAACCCTGAATCGTTTCATCCCCATCAGACTCGGGACGGAGAAGTGGCCGTTGGCGTTTCGAAATGTGAAAGGGGTGAGCTCGTGAGGTACTTGTTCTTTACTTCGGGAGGGTGCGTACGCTCGGAAGAGGACGTTTGGGCCTAGGGCAGCGAGGCGGAGCGCGATGAGGTCTGCTGCGGAGTTGCTGGGTGCGCAGGCGAGGATGCGGGCTTGCGGGTTGGTGTCAAGGATTTGACGGATGGATTCGACCATGGTGACGGTTTTGCCGGTTCCGGGGCTTTTTGAACGAGAGGGGAAAGGGGAATTCATTATCAATGAATAGGGCATTCGAAGGTATGAAAGTCGTACTCACGGTCCAAAGATCACGAAAGGAATCGATCCAGCTGGTGCACGGGCAATAGAAACAACAGCCTGTAGCTGTCGAGGGTTGGTCGCAATCGTACTGTTGTACGTGCGTACCCCCATTCCTCGAGGAATCGCACCCCGACGAAGGTGCTCTGGATCAGGGAACAAAACACGTTCTTGTACGAATGCTGTGTCTAATGCTTGGTGTTCACGACGAACGGGGTATCGGTTGAGTTTGAACCTGATTGTGAAGCGGTCGCTGGGGTTGGCTAGGAAGGACCGGTGGAATTTCATGCCGACTTCTTCTTTTCGGACGACGTGGACTCCACCCTCGAACCAGTGGCCTTGAGCGCTTCCGTTGCGTTGAACGAGGATTCGGTCGCCTAGGAGAAAGGATAAGAGAATGATAATAGTCTCGATAAGAGAAAAGATTGAACATACCAACTAGCACACTTGGTCGCTTTTCAGCCAGTCCTGGAACATCGAGGCTAGCAAGGTCAATCAGAATCAAGATAGAATCAACGAGACTAAGGTTCAGGCGCACTAGTAATAGGAATTAAATCGCGTAAGCTTTGCATTATGCATGTCATAATGCTCAAGATCGCGTCTAAGAATCGTCAAGGTCAATATACACATCGAGGGAAGAAGAATGAACGAACGAACTCCATCTGATGCTCCTCCGCCCACAAGAGATGCTTAAAGTGCTTCCCATATCCCGCACTATCAAGGACTCGAGGTAGATATACATGCTGCATCCTCTCTGTGATCTCCTTGGTAGTGCCCGACGAAAGGGTGCGTGCAACAAGCGACGGAATCAACGCCAACGGCAACTTCCCAACATACGGAATAGCCTGTAACGACGGTGCAGGCTCCCCAGGAACCACTTCCACCTCCGGTTGACGCGCAGATCTCTTCCTCGGTTTGTAGGGTGTTTTGGGTTTGAGATCGTTCTGGTCAGATTGGCTTCCGACGTGAACGCGCAATGTCCGGGAGATCATGAAACGTGTGCGTAGCTGAAGGTCTTGGAATGTAAGGTCGAGTCGATCTTCGGTACGTCCGTAGTACTTGGCAGTCATATCAACTCGAAGATGAATCGGGGTGGAAGACGTGATTGTGCGGTTTGGTCCACGCAACGACACTTTGAATCTATGAGCATTTTCATCAGCAAAAGCTTGCGTCTGAACAATCAAAATGATGCTTACGGAGAGTACGTTCGTCGTCCCTGGGAAGAAGCCAAAGCACACCCAATCAACGAAACCCGCACAGTCGGATTAGCCTTGACCGACGCCTCAACCGCAACCCCTCGTGTCGCGGTATTCAAATCAACAATCCCAAAATCAAACCCTCCCTCCACTGAAACCCCATTCTTATCCTTCTCCGCCTCCTCAACTACCGAAGTAAACGCGATAAACTGTTCACGATCCTTATGCTGAGGCATCGAGGGATGACGCGCCCAATACCTATTAGGTATATGTCGATTACACACTGTGCAAAGTTGGTGGTCAGGTACAACGTCGGGTTCTTCAGGATCGACGTCCGCTGAACGTCCCTGAGACGAAGCCCGCGAAGCGTGTCTTGGGCTCCCCACGTGTGATGACCAGTTCTTCATACCGGAGACGTATTTCTGACAGATGGGACAGAAGAGGAGTGCACCGGTTTCGCCTTGGGTTTTGTTGAGGTGTTGTTTGGTGGTGAGGTGGTGTTGGTAGTCGGTTTCGGTGTGGAAGACTGCGCTGCAGAGGGTGCAGTTGCGGACGTTGTGTTCGTAGGGACATTGGGTGTCGTTGCAGGTGCCGGTGGAAAGGACGTTTGGGCACGAGCGGGATGTGGAGGACTGGGGGGAAGACATTTTCTCAGAGAAGGGGGGGTTTGGGGTCAACAAAGGAAGAAAGAACGGTCGCCACTCGTTCTTGTTTATATTTATATAGCAAGAAGGAGGGAAGATAGACGACTTACCCGCTCGCTTGCCGTTCTTTTCTTCCATTCAAAACAAAGGGAAGAAACGTGCCCTTTAGCGCGTAAAGCTTGACCGCATTTGGTGAATCTTCCATCGATCGAAACGCGATTGGATCGCGTTCTCACTGCCTGGACCCACAAATACCATGTCTTTGGGATTCCAGAAGCTCTTTTTGGCATCTCCGCCGTTTCTGCGCAGTAGAACAGAAGACCTTTTGAACCTTGTTTGAATACAGAGGCCACACCACGAACACGTTTGGGGCTAGTTAGAAGAGGATCATGACATGGCGGGAAGCACCTGAGCTTGAACCATGTTTCTCAGTCAGACTCGTGTAGATCGTGGTTGGTGTCAAAGCAGTAGATCGTGGGAGATAGTACTGTATGTTCCTAGAATAGGCATCATCTGTACATTACGTCTTACTTCGTCCTGCTGTCTTTTTATCTACCTAGCCCGGACTCCGCAGGCCTGAATAATCCTGATCGTCTCGAGACCGACTGCTTGCGTGCTGGACATGGTTGTTGTAGGTAGTTGCAAAGAATATGGGCCGCCTGGCGAAATGGCATCGCGTCTGACTACGATCATGGACATGATAAGGGATCACTTCGAACGTTATCAGGAGATTGCAGGTTCGACCCCTGCGGTGGTCATTATGAGTTTTGTTTTGTCCGCTTACTTCAGACCCTACTTACTGAATCTACAAGGGCGTACGAAGTGGAATCCAGTCAACTATCATGCTCCAATACACCCAGACCTAACATCCATCTTGAAAGTTGAAATCATCTCATTGCTGCAAAAAAATATCCGCAAAGACCGGTCTGTGGTCGCTCGTCACAAGCCCATCATCCTGCAACGTCGTCGTTACCTTGTACGCCGTCGATTTCCTACACAAAGAAAACAAAAGTTCAAACTCAACTATACCCAAAACGAGATGCAGAACGCACCACTTCATGTTACTCCCCCCAAAGATAAAATCAAGCCTCATCCACTCCGACGTGTCCTGAGAGTTGAAACTCGTCCACGTAGCAAAGTTCTTCGAAACAGCAAGACGAGGTGTGTGGCCTCGTAGATCGAGCATCTTGAAGCCCTGCCCTTCGTCACCGGTATCGAACTCCTTGGCAAATCGCTCGTTGATGGCTACGGGTGTGGCAGATCCTGTTATAGTGCGGTATCCACCGGAGGCGGGGCCTGTGGCTTCGCTACACGTGAACGGAGAGTTAGACTGTGGCAAACTGGACCGGAAGGAGGGTACACGCCTGTTGAAATCCCCGATAACGAAAACGGGTACGCCGCCGTTGTTCTTATACGCTTCGTATTTGGCCCTTTGAAGGAGGAGGGATGCGCCCAGATTGCGTTGACCTTCATATCTATCGTCTAGGTGAGTGTTGAGAACTGAGAAGCTGTTCGGGGTTCCTGGGGTGGATTGTTTATAGTGAAGTGTGCGATTGTGCAGATACGGGGTAGGGCCTCTGGGTATGCGGATGGTTCGTAGGGTGTGTGGCTGCATGAGTGAAGAGGTCAGGGAGGCGAGGTCGATGAAATTGGCGGAGACTGACGAGAGCCAAAAATGTTGCGCCTCGGAGACGAGGGTCAATGCTGATCTAAAACACGGGGGAAAGGATTAGTTCGACCTCCGAGTCGGTCAACGTTATAGATAGATTACTTTTTGTAAAAAATGGGGCAATATTCCCCCTTTTCCTTCCCGTCATCTCTTCCAGCTCCAACCCAGGCCCAGTCATCACCGAAAAGCTCGACCAGATCATCGATTTGATTTTTCAAAGCTTCTTGCAAGCCTACACAGTTCTTAGTCGACCGCCCACGGCACGAAAGTGACTGGAGATAACTGACCAACTAGGTCGATGCCTTCGTTCAGTAAGGTTTCGGCGATTCTGATTCTTCTGTCGGCCCAGTTTTGCTCGCCGTGGAGAGTGAGAAAAGGAAACTGGACGGTGCAATCGGGTAGTTTGTCAATGGTGTCTTTGAGCGGAATATTCTTTGGGTCAGAGTCATATCGGATGTTCCAGGTTGCGATACGCATGTTGAGGACTGATGGTGCTACGAGAGAGTGATGAGAATGAAGAGTTGAACACGGTTTGGGCGATGAAGATGAACCAGAACTGATGCCAGCTTAAATCCTTTGGAAGCTGTAGCCCGAGGTACGCAGTCAAGTCGGTAAAGCTGGGAAAATGACGGCCATAGGAGACGACCGACGTCGTGCCAGTGTCGTGGTTGTCACCGCTTAGAGGAGGTTTTAGTATTTCGCTATGAAGGCCCAGGAACGTCTAGGAACGTGCATTCAGTTTGAGTAGGCAGATAACAGGCGTCAATGTGAACCGATGCGCCAGGTGATGCTTTTAATTATGGTCTATAGTCAAAAAAGTACTAGAGCGTACCTGCAGGGTCATAGTTCGGGTTCAGGATGACCTTGGCCTGGAGGCGAGCCGATGCACGATTCGACCTGCCCTAAACTCACTCCGACAGCTCGATCATGATCCATACTCGGAGCCGTGGCCCGAAATCTATCTCTTTTTCCTGACCACATTCGACGTCGTGCATTTGAGGGGAAAACACAGGTAATTGAACCTGACAGCCATTTTTATCCTCAGCACCTCGAAATCTGTTGGAATGTTGGCACGGAATCCAGATATGGTTGAACGTTGGCTTGGCAGACCTCCAGGGACCACTGTTTCCATATAGATACGCATCTCACCTTTTGCCTCAATCACTACCATTCCGACTTCCGGAATGGGTGACTTCGACCTCGAATAGTCGGCTTTATGCCTACTGAACAAGCCATCACTATCGCTGCTACAGTCAGAGCTGATCTAACCGGTCAATTTGAAGCTTTCAGCCGTGCTCTTTGTGCGTAGTAGCCTGGCGTCGCCCAAGGGAGCCCGGTCGTCCACTCCATGCGTAATCCAATGCTCTATCTATCCTCTATTACTAAGCGTACCCTTTCAGACTCCGTTTCAAGGTCGAGGAAAGCAACGTCATGGACCCCTCCATCTCCCACTGTACCAAGAACTTTCGAATCGCTGAAGATCGACTCGAACTCATTTTCCTCAAAGACACACAGCCCCATACCTATTTTCTTATCTCTCGCACTCGATGGCAGCCAGGATCGGACCATATTTGGTTTGGATCTCAGGACACCCCACGTTCTAAAGCCCAAAAAGCGGTCTGCTTGTCGACTAGAGAAGGAGGTGGTTTGTGGCGAGCCTGCGCCGTCGTTGAGGGCAATCCCGTATGTCAGGAAGCTACCTATGGCCTTCATGACGTATCGCTTTCCACGGATTCTGGCAAATTTGAAGAGATGATCAGATTGTGGGGGCATTGCCGAAAGATCCACGAGCGTCTGATAACGTGGGGTATGCAGATTACTCCAGGCATCTTCCGGCAGGAGAGTTCCAGAGGAGTACGTCTTTGGAAAGACCATCTCCCGAACGTCTTTGATAGTGCGGGGGGTACGTAGACTACTTGAGACGTCTCTTGTGGGCGGGAGAGACCCAGATGGAGCACGTAGCGTGTTCTCTTTTCTCCTGTCGTGGTCGAGTTTAACCTTGGTATCTCTAGCCGTAATCCTCAGTACTACAACGTGGCTTTTGGATGTGGAGCTCACATAGTAACGTTGAGAAGCCGTGAGGGAGACGTCGGAGTGGTGACTTTTTGAGCATCGCTTCGATTTGCTTCCCGGTATATTTTGATCTACTATGGTTTGCTTCTTCGTGTGCGTTGTCATATATTCATCGATCTTTTCGCTCATCCATTCGGATGGGGTTTCATGATGTCAAAGGTGAACGGAATTGAAGATCCTGGATGTGACTAGCAACAAGTACAAGGAGAAATGAGTAAATAACACAGGAAAGGAATGTGGTGGCTTAGTATGCCTAGATAGATACAGAATAAATAATCACAACAAGGAATGTGAGACCACCGCTGTGGCAATGAGTGGCCACTATACCGATAAGAGGCGAAGGTGTTGATACAACGGAAGTGAGAGAGGTTGCGCCAGGAAAGAGAGAAATCTGTTTCGTATGGTGGGCTTTTAGATCACTAAAGGACGCTTATATGCTCTGGATACAGTGTCAATAACCGACTGAGATCAACTCATTGGTTGTAAACCCTGTATGGGTATCCACTTGATCGGGGAGCGGAGGATGGCGCGTTTCTGTGTTGTGTCTGTGGTCCAGGGCGAGCATGATACTGCTGAGAAACACGTGGAACAGCTTTTGGTGGCGGAGGTGGGGGATAAGGACGAGGAATGGCAGGTACCGGCGAGCAATGGTAGTTACTGTGGAAGCCGGAAGATGAAGAGGAAGTCGTTGCTTGTGAGTCCTTGGACTCGGCCCTCTTTCGAACTGCATTGGAGCGCACGAGTGGCTCGTCCCATGAGTCCAGTGCCTTCATTGTTCTAATCTCGCCGACAGTTCGCATAGGCACACGCGGACGAACCATTGCGTTGGAAAAGGTGTGTGCTGAGACGGGGACTGGATCGTGTTGGACAGGACGAGTGTTGCTGGAATAGAGGGGGAAGACTTGACGGTTCTTCGCGTCGATCTCGACTGCGGTCGAGCGAGAGACTTTGTAGGTACCCTTGGAGCATCCATGACATTTGTACGATCCGGATGTCGGCTTCGGGCTGTTGGGGTAGGTACACTTGGAGTTGTTGCACTTGTGGTGGAGGGTGGAAGGCCAATTCGCAGGGAGCTTTTTGCCGAAGGCTACAGAGATTAGAACATGGTCAGAACTAATCAACGTATTCGAGAAGTGCAAACAACTCACAGAACATGATGTCAAAAAGAACTTAAAGTGCGGTAAAAATCGAAAGTGGCGAATAAAGAAGGGAAGGGGAGGTTAGGAAGAGATACCGGACCTCGGTGTGCGGGGATAATTTTCAAGGAAAGTGGGTAGTATATCTCTCTCGAAAACTTACCTCTCTATTTATACCTTACCCCAGGCGTCAATAAGCGCGAACAATGTGGCAGCTTCGACAAAGAAACCGTCCACATTTCCATTTTTTGACGAATATGGCTTTGCCAGACAATGGTCGGAGTCATCATGGCCACATTTCGATGACAGCGGGTAGACTTTTTGGGGACTTTGCCGAAAGGTAGTAAAATCTCTATTGTCCAAAAGCAGAGGTCACTCGACTTGAAGTAGATTTGAGATCAGCTTCCAGCAGATAAGTCCTCCTAGGTGTGAGGTGGAGCGCCAGACCTACCTAAAGTCACGAGGAACACTGCTAAGCACGGGATAAAATAGCGTCAAAATTGCCGCGTAAACAAAGGCGCAATTTCTCTCAGCATCTCTGGCGTAATAGCTTGCTCCCTAGCAGAGGTGGTGGCAGCCTACCCTTCCACTAGGGCCATCTCGATCCTCGCGGTAGGATGAGTGCCACGTTCAACGCGACATTGCCGAAGAATCTCTAAAGCCTGTGTAGAGAGCCGAAAGGTGACTTGGAATGGTTGCAAGGAACATTCGAGGCCATAGGTACAGTCGTGGATTATGGACATCAGTAGGTGCCACTTGGAATGTTTTGGTGGCGTGTGTTTCAGATGAGTAAGCCGGAACTCATAATGCTCAATGATAATGCCTCGTGGGCGTTGTGGCGGTGCATTTCGTTCCTGGTCTTCACCACCATAAGGGCACC